ATTAGGTTGCATGTTCAATTCTGGAAGTAATCAAGGGGTATTTATAAATGTACTTGAACTTCTAGATGGTATGTCATGGTATTCGGCATGAAGATTAAGCTTATAAAGCTGTACTCATGTTTTATTTCACTTTTATTTTTCCTACAAGCATATGCTCAGAAAGGACAATAGTAGGTACATTTCTACAACTTGAAAATTAACTAATTTTGCTTACATTTAAAAATTAACCTAGTAAAAATGTACACACATGTCAGGTCAAGATGAAATAAACAATTATGATATTACCCCCACAGGCTGCTTTTTAAAAAGATATTTCAAATGAAAGTAATTTTTGACCTAAATTTTCTCAATGACTGCAGAAAGCTTTCCATTTCCAAGCTGACTGTAAATAGTTTTATGGGAATAGAGACGTAAAGGGGATAAATGCAAAGACTAATGAATTATCACAAAGAATGATATTTGCTTTTGGAGGCTTATGATAGTCTTAGCCTCTTTTTTAACACTTTCCCCTCCCAAAAAATAACCCAACAATTTTTAGAAACTAAATATATTACAAAAGAATATTTAACATTAACTATAGTATTTAAGCAAACATACCAGAAAAAAATCTTTTAGAACTACAGTGATTTTTTATTTCAAGCTTACCTATTTTCATTGAAATTTCCAGTATACTTTGCCCCAGTTGGGAATGTATAAGTCCCTAATCCATGAAACATATTATCCTTAAATTGTCCTTCATATACTGCTCCTGAAAAATGTTCAAGTCTTCCAAAACCATTCATCTGTTTTCAATAAAGGAAATGACCTCAGAAACTAATTTTCAGTTTCCCCACAACCTTTCAAAAATGTACACATATAAGTCTATCAAACACTTAGTTATTATTTAATCAACTTTGTATCACCCTTTATTTCTATAGTAACAAGACAACATTTTTATCATTGTCCTTCATCTGTATCAATCTGTGAAGCCACTAAATCAAATGTTCCTGATCTGAGACATTTCAACATCTGGGGGGCGGTCCATGATGATATTAACAAGGGTCCTCAAGATAATTTGTCTGAAAGGGCAACCAGTTTAGTTAGCTTAGGAAACAGTACAAAGTCATTGTTAAGAACTCAAGTTGGATTCAAGCAGAACTGGGTATACGTTCTTGTTTCATCACCTACTAGCTGGGCGACAAATCTGAACCTGATTTCCCTTACTTGTAAAATAGGAGTATTAATCGTAGTTACCTCATGGGTTATTATGAGGACTGAATGAGAAAATTATGTAATAGGTATAGCTTTACTGAATCAATGGGAGATGAGAAAGATGATAATGATGATTAGTTCTCTGCAATGACTTTAAGATTACCCATATGTTAATATATGTTAAATATGATCATTTATTATTTTTAGTATATAGTCTACTCATTATATGTGTTTTTGATTAATGGTGAAATACCCAGAATCATTTACCCATAGGGTTATTTATTCACTGTCAGTATTAAAAACAACAATAATACCTTGTCATCTCTCCAGTTTCCTGTGTAGACAATCCCATTAGGAGTGGTATGAATACCCATTCCATTTCTCTCATAGATTCCAGAAGATGTTCTTGTACAGTCACCATCTAAATAAGGGAGAAATACTGAAGACTGTAAGTGGGAACTCTGTTTTACTAAGTAATACAGTATTTATGTCTGGGCCTAATCACAACCACATCCCTATGGTCCTCTTTGGTTCCCTAAAACTGAAACCAGTGAAACCAGAAATGAGGAGATCCATGGACCTAGACCATCTTGTAACCATTGAGACATAAGGGCGAGGCAGGTTGACAGATCCCATAGGTTTCCAAAGCATACTGTCCACACTTAACATTGGTGTTTTGATTTAAAAATCTGTTCATCTATTAGGATTTCTATGTTATTTTATTTAATGGAGTTAATATCCCAGTATTAGTTTTACGGTCTCACTTTTTCATTTTTAAGCTATTTAGCTTTTAGTATAAAAAAGTATTTGAAATGTATGCTTACCATACTTGTCTCCATTTGGAAATATAAAGTTTACCTTATACACTTCTGAAGCTGTTTTAAAAGATTTAAGAAAAGTCGTATAAGTTTACATATTTTTATGTCATAAAACCTATAACCAATGTGCTTTAAATTCTATCCAAATAGACTCACTTCATGATCATAATCATGATCACGGCATATCATGATTATTTGGCATTTCCATTGTCTAGTGTACAGTCCTGGGGAAATAAATAATTTTGCCTAGATGATCTATTTTTATTTATTTATAATAACAGCATTATTAATATATATTAAGGACAAAATTTATGCAATTCAATGTTTTTAGTATATTCAAAGAGTTGTACAACTATTACTAATGTAATTTTGGAATATTTTAATCACCCCCAAAAGAAACACTGTACCCATTAGCAGTTACCAATCCCCTCAACTACCCCTCACCCACAACTCCAGGCCCCTGGCAACTACTAATCTACTTTGTGTCTCAATGGATTTGCCTGTTCTGGACATTGCTTACAAATAAAATCATACCATATGTGGTCCTTTGTGACTGGCTTCTTTCACTTAACATAATGTTTTCAAGGTTCACCCATGTTGTATCACGTATCAGTACTTCATTCCTTTTTATAGCCAAATATATTATATAAATATATTATACAGAAATAGTACATTTTGTTTATTCATTTATCAGCTGATGGACATTTAAGTTGTTTCCAGTTTGAAGCCATGATGAATAATGCTGTTATAAACATTGATATACAGCCAGGTGTGGTGGCTCATGCCTGTAATCCTACTACTTTGGGAGGCTGAGGCGGGAAGAATGCTTGAAGTCAAGAGTCAAGAGACCAGACTGAGCAAGAGCAAGACCCCATTTTCACAAAAAATAGAAAAATTGTCCAGGTGTGGTGGAATGCACCTGTAGTCCCAGCTACTTGGGAGGCTGAGGCAGGAGGATCACTTCAACCCAGGAGTTTGTGGTTGCTGTGAGCTATGATGACGCCACTGCACTCTAGCCCGGGTGACAGAGTGATACCCTGTCTCAAAAAAAAAAAGTTTTAAAATAGAATCTGTAACTAAAATTCAGGTGATATCAATATGAAAGTGGTGTGAGGGGTAGAGAGCAATCTTGCCAGAATTCTGATCTTGTTTAGGGGTTAAATATAGACACTAACACTAAATCTGAAAAATATATATAAATTTAGGTATGTTTCTTCATTTTTTCTATAATTTCTAAGATTTGGTTGTGGAAAAAGGGTGAAGTGTGGAGGTATAGAGAAACTGCCACGTATGCTCATGTATTAATTATATACATACGTGCAAGATTTGAAGTTCCAAGGGGATAGAGACCCAGAGTGCTTTCTAATTGTTTAATGATATTAATACTAACCAGATTACAAAATTTACTTCTAGTTCCCCACAGGCCCCATGCTGTACTGTCTCCCTGGAACACTCTTCTCTTCTTTGCCTAGTTACCTGCTATTCATCCTTAGGAATTGGCAAAATAGAGTGTAGTACTTAAGGGTTCATGCTCTGCCATCAAATCACCTAAGTTTGAATCCAGACCCCACCATTTTCTTTGGCCTTGGACAAATTACTTAATTATCTATGCTTTAGTTTCCTCATCCTTAGATGAGGCAAATTAAGTAAATGAGCTAATCTATGTAAAATACTTAAGCCAGTGTCTAAACTCTGTAAATATTAGCTATTGTTTTCTTGTAGCCTCAGCTCAGGTATTTGCTCTTCAGCAAAGCCTTTCTTCTTATTTTTCTTCACCCCCGGACTCCTTTAGGGGCTCCCACAGCACTCTGCACCTATTCCTAATATAGTACTTAGAGCTCCATTATAATAAAACGATGCTTTTGTATGGGGATACCCTATCACAGCCGGCTCTTCCAGGACATGGTTGGCAGATTAGTCGAATCTCTTTTCTTATCCTACTACTATCCAACTCAGTGTTTAGTGCTAATAGGAACTGAATGACTAGTGAATGAAGGGTACTTGAGAAGCAATCGCTAAATGTCTATTAAGCAGGTCACTGAAAGTAATCATACAAGAAACTGAACTGTTTTCAATTGCCTTTAGAAAGTTCTACATTCGAAACTTGGGAATATTAGAGCTAGAGAGAATCTGGCACCATAGCGGAAAATGAAGCCCGGAGAGGTTGGCACGTGCCTAAGGTGTCACAACAGCGAATTAACGATAGAATCAGAGCTAGAATTCAGGTCTCCTGATTCCTAGACCGGGGGCTTTCCGCGACCCCACCCAGCCTCCCGGTGTAGACGGTCAGGAAATATGTCACACTCGTACAGGCATTACTAGGGGTCAAATTCTGACTCAACGCGAGATCTACTCAAAGATGCCCTTCCCCGCGGGCGTCGCTGGGAGGAGGAGGACTCACTTGACTGAGAGGTGTTAGAGACATTTTCTTGACTCTGCGATTCCTCCTGGGCAGCCAGCTCTGCGGCCTGGAGAGAACCAGACGCTAGTGCTGCGCCAAGCGCGACTCGGTTGCTGGGGAGACCAGGCGCCTCTCACCCGGAAGCGAACATACGAGAGGCCGAGGCTGAGCCAATCAGAGGGCGCCTGGGCTGTGCAGCTGCAGCTGGGCCACCGCGGAGCCGCTCCAAGTGAGATCGGTGAGGGTGGCTGAGCTCAGTCGGGACCTCTGACCCTTGGGCATCGCCTCCCGACATCCGCCCCGGGAACCGACGCTACAAGCCAGGTATGGCCTCCACTTCCGCAGACAAGTGATGTGTGTCTGTGTTGCATGGTCTGCGCGTAGACCTGGTTGTCAGTGTGCGGACCGTCTGCCACCTCCCTGCTCTGGGAGTGGTCAGGATCTGAGGAGCATCACGGCCCAGTGTGTCCTAGCCTGTCTGCCTGGGACCGGTGAATCTGGACCAGCAGGATCCCAGGCCCTGGGACCGAGTCAGGCAGAGCTCTGCTGCTGAGGTTGTCCAAACTCAAGCTGGAGGCGGGGAAGCGGAATTCAGACTCCAAGCTGGGTAAGGGGTTGGATTGAAGGAGCTCAGGCTCCGTTTCCTGTCTGTCTCCATCTTGAACTGAGTAGCTATTTGGGGAGAGGGTTGGGAACGTTGCGTGTTAGTATAAAGGTATGAGGTCTGGATATCTGGATGGAGCTGGATATATTAGGGTCAGTCAGAGATTTGCCTGGGAGGAGAGTGCGTAGTCAGTTTTTAGTGCCTTGGGTATGAAACAAAGGATACTTTTAGAGCCATATTTAGGTCCCTAATATACACGGTGAAGAAAGATAGTTGGAATCTTCCCAGGCTAGATGGACTAGAATAGTGGAATCTAACCATATATGTTATACAGCCTAATTCCTGTTCCTGGAAAATGTGTAAGGAGAATGATACTGGATACCACTCCAGCCAGCAAGTCTTCGTTTAAAATGTTGAGTGTATGTCTCAGACCAAGTTGCAAAGGTAACGTTTTCTGGGTTGGTGTGAGACAAGTTGTTTTAAATCAGAGTACAGTATCTTCTTGATTTTTACCTAATGTCTCTCAGTACACAAAAATTTACCTGGGCTAGGTGGTTTTTGAGATGACGTTCCGATCTGTCTGATTTGTTTATCCTTCCCCTTTTTTTTAAATTTTAGAAATAATGTGTAATTATTGATGCACAACCTTACAGAATTCAGTTTTTCCCATTGTTTTGTTCACCCGTTAAGCTCTTAATGACCCCACACTTTTGTGAGTACAGCTGACCCTTGAGCTACACGGGTCTGAACAGCTGGGATCCACTTACAGACAGATTTCTTCCAACAAACTTGAATCAAAAATACTGTACAAAATGCAGTATTTGTAGAATGTGAAACCCACATGCAGAAGGCCGACTTTTTCTATATGCTGGTTCCCCCAGGGGCAACTGCGGACTTGAGTATGCCCGGAGTTTGGTATGTGTGTGTGTGGGGGGGGGGGTTCTACTAATCCCCCGTGTATACCCAAGTATGACTGTATTTCGTGGCTCATTCTCTCGATGTGTTCAAGTGTCCTCTTGTACATGATCTCAAAGAGATATTACCACTCAATCTAAAATAACAGCCTCGGTTTTTGTTTTTTTTTTGTGATAGCACTTAACTGATAATATATATTTATTTGTTTATTATCTGTCTTACCTGCTAGAAGGTAAGCTTCATGAGGCAGAAATTTTGTCTTCTTTGCTGTTATATACCCAGGATCTAGCACATAATAAGTGCTCAGTAAATATTTGTGAAATGAATAAATAGATGAATGACTCTCCATTCTCACATAAGTCATTTATTCAACCCTCAGCCATTCATTCCACGAATACATATTGCATTCCTACTATATGCCAGACACTATGTTAGAGAGACAGTGGTAATCAAAATAGATATAGACCTTACCTTCAAAGAGCTTTCTGGGAGTAGGCGTGGGGGAGACAAACATAAAATAAACACTCAATACATATGTTTAATCATGAAGGATTTGAAGAAAGGAATACCAAGGGACCTAGTTTAATTTTGATGTATTTGAGAATTTCCAAAATTTTTCCAGCTTTTGATTTCTAATTTTATTCTATTTTGGTTGGAAAACATACTTTGTATTATTTCTTTCTATCTTTTTAAATTTATTGAGGTTTGTTTTATAGCCTAACGTATGGTCTGTCCTGGAAAATGTTTCATGTGTACTTGAGAAGAATGTATATTTTGTTGTTGGGTGGAGTGTTCCACAGACATCTATTAGGTCTAGTTCGTTTATAGTGTTGTTCAAATCTTCTATTTCCTTGTTGATCCTCTGTCTAGTTGTTCCACCGTTACTGAAAGTGGGGTATAGAAATCTCCTACTATTATTATTGAATTGTCTATTTCTCCCTTCATTTCTATCAGTTGTTGCTTCATGTATTTTGGTGCTCTATTATTAGGTGCATATATGTTTATAATTGTTATATCTTCCTGATGGATTACCCATGTTATCATTATGAAATATCCCTTTTTCTCTCTAGTAACATTTTTTGCTTTAAAGTATGTATTGTCTGATGTTTGTTACATAGCCACTCCACCTTCCTTGTGGTTGCTGTTTGCATGATTCTTCTTTTCATTCTTTTATTTTCATTTATTGTATCTTTGAATTTAAAGTGTCTTTCCTATAGAGAGCATATAGTTGGATCATGTTTTTTAATCTAGTATGATAATCTTTGTCTTTTGATTGGATTGCTTAATTCACTCACATTTATTTTTACTATTGATATAGTGGGAATTACATCTATCATTCCATTTTATTTTTTGATGTTTAAATATATCATGTCTATTTGTTCTTCTGTTCCTACTTTACTGATTTCTTTTGCATTTAGTCATTAAGTGAGTATTTTCTAATGTAGTATTTGTGTGATTGCTCTGGGGTTTATCATGTACACATTAATTTATCAGAATCAGCTTCGGATTTATACTAGCTTAATTCCAGTGATATTGCTGTGGTTTGACTGTGTCCTCCTTTTGGGGAACATGTATTAGAGACTTAATCCCCAATGCAACAATTTTGGGAGGGGGGGGCCTAATAAGAGGTGATTGGGTCATGGGGGCAGATCCTTCATAAATGGATTAAAGTTGTTATCGTAAGAGCAGGTTAGTTATCAAGAGAGTGGATTGTTACAAAGGGAGTCTGGCCCCTGGTGCCTCTCTCTGTATTGCTCTCACTTCTGCCTTCCACCATGGGATGACCCTTGCCAGATGCCAGCATGGCGCTTGGACTTCGCAGCCTCCAATACTGTGAACAAAATAAACTAATATTGTTTGTAAATTACTCAGTCTGTGGCATTCTGATATAGCCCAAAATGAACTAAGACAGATGTATAGAAGCATTACTCCTATATAGCTCTATTCCTTTCCCCACCTTTTGTGCTATTATTGTTAATATATATTACATCTATTGATGTTAACACCCCCAAAATACATTGTTATAATTATTACTTTACCTATGTCATTTTCTTAGCCCAGTACTATTATATTCCCAACAATGTGCTTTGTGCTGTTATTGGCAAATATATTACACATATATAGCATTCCATAGGTTATAAGCCCAACAGTATGTCATATACATGTTATTTTACACAATTGGTTTTTTTTCCTGGTTTAATCAAGAAGCTTTTATGATATTTAGTTTTAAACAGTATGTAAATACAGTAATCTCTGAAGGATTTGGCAAAGAATTTTTTTTTCCATTTCCAGTCTTTTAAAGTAGACACAGATTTACTTAAAATAAAGCTGATTTTAACAGTACACAAATGCTGGACACAAATGATAGGATTAAATTTGGCAACCTAGGGTGATAAAGGGTACAAGACTAAAAGTAGGTACCCTTCAACAGAAAACTGATCTCCCAAGGTGATCACCTAACAGTCAGAGGCTGACATCCTTATACTACAAAAGCAAGAACAGAATAGTGCATGAACTTCCCAGTGGAGTCTGTAGCTCTACCTTGGTTTCTATTAATTACTTTAAGAACACTTAGCGTAGTTATGTATGGTCTTTAGTAGACAACCTGCATCCATTTAAACACAATATTTTCTTTAGTAGTTTGAATATAAGACCACAATATTTATTTTAGACAAACCCCTTAAAGTAGTAATTTTAATATCAATGTTATCCATTTTTTGAAATAGGAAGTGTTTTAACTGAATTAAAGTTATAGGTGATTTTTAAAATACTACATACATCGTGACTAGTATATTAAAATTATATTTAGATATTATTTATGTCTAATATCCAAAGAAAATTCACTACTGAATTGTTACAGTAGCTATTAATCAGTTGGACGTGCTTATTAATTGATCCCATAGGTTTAATTATAGGTCCTCATGATTTTAATGTCTATTCTTTCATTTTACTAAAAGGAACGCAGCATTTACAGAACAAATAAACAC